ACAACCTTCCAGGGGGTCAACGCTGGGCACAATGAATGTGGTTCCTCCCAGAGTAAGGTTAGATAGCAAGGGCTGTAAATAATAGTGCCAAAAGTAGCCTTTTATATGGTCCAAAATGAGTGCAATACATGGACTTCTCTTCCATATGTGGAGTGAATCCTCTAGAGAGGAAAATGCCACCCATCATGTGGTTCCAGGCATTCATCTCAACTGCGCAGGTGCAAGAGCGCCATGCGCATTGACGTCATATCCGACTGGGATGACATATTTCCAGAGACCGCACAAAACGCCATGTTAGAGACTGCCGCAGACATGTAAAGAAATGCGGACTGCACAGAAGTGCGTGAGAAACGGGAAAGAGTGCCTTACCTCACTGTTCTCTGTGACCACAAATACAGATCCCCCAGAAATTTAGGGGACCCTTTCCGTGCCGGGCACATCAGACTGCCTCGCCAGGAGAAAAGAGCCAACCTTCACAGCGAAAGCATATACATTACTTTTGAAAAAGTTGCTACATAATCTGGACAGCAAAACATAACTTAATCAAAAATATAATAATTGAATGACATTAACATAGAATCCTGCGGCACAAAATAGAACAGGAAAATTCGGGTTTAGGCATTACAGCTCTTAGGAGTAGCCCTCCCCCCTTTTTTTCAAGGGACCAAAAGTAAGTGGACAATTGAATATAATCATAAATAAGAGTTCATATTTTGTTGAGAATCCTTTACTGCCAATTTCTGCCTGAAGTCTGGAACCCATGGACATTACCAAAGATTGGGTTTCCTCCTTTCTGATGCTTTGCCAGGCTCTAACTGCAGCTGTCTTCAGTTGTTCTTTGTGGGTCTTTCTGCCTTTTTAGTTTTGCCTTCAGCAAGTGAAATGCATGCTCAATTGGGTTGAGATCAGGTGATTGACTCGGCCATTGTAGAATATTCCACTTCTTTTCCTTCAAAAGCTCCTGGGTTGCTTTTGCAATGTGTTTTGGATCATTGTCCATCTGTACTGTGAAGTGCCGTCCAATCAACTTTGCTGCATTTAGCTGAATCTGGACTGAGTGTATATCTTTAAACACTGCAGAATTCATCCAGCTGCTTCTGTCACATCATCAATAAACACCAATGCCCCAGTGCCACTGGAAGCCATGCATGCCCATTATTATTATTATTATTATACATTATTTATATAGCGCCAAAAGGTTTGCTCAGCGCTGTACATTACAGTGGGGGACAGTACATGAGACAATACAGTAACAAGACAAAACCCGAGGGGTTCGAGGGCCCTACTCTTTCGAGCTTACAATCTAGGAGGGAGGGGATAGTGGTACAGGAGGAAGTGGTTGTGGGGGATGGAGTAGTAGGAGGAGTGTAGATCAGCAATTAGGTGAGGCTGGGGTAGGCTTCCCTGAAGAGATGGGATTTCAGGGTGCGCCTGAAGGTGAGGAGGGAAGGTGACAGTCTGATGGATTGGGGTAGAGAGTTCCAGAGGATGGGGGAAGTCCTGGAGAAGTCCTTCAGTCGGGCGTGGGAGGTGGAGACCAGGGAGCTAGAAAGTAGGAGGTCTTGTGAGGAGCGAAGATTACGGGTAGGGTGGTATTTGGGTATCAGGTCGGTGAGGTAGTTTGGGGCAGCGTTATGAATGGCTTTGTATGTCAGTGTTAGTAGTTTGTATTTAATGCGTTGGGCAATCAGAAGCCAGTGGAGGGATTGGCAGAGGGGGGTGGCGGATACGGAACGGTTAGTAAGGTGGATGAGTCTGGCCGCTGAGTTCAGGATAGACTGAAGCGGGGATAGTCTGTGATGAGGTAGGCCAGTGAGGAGGGAGTTGCAGTAGTCGAGTCGTGAGATAATAAGGGAGTGAACAAATTGTTTAGCAGTATCTGGGGTTAGGAACGTATATATTTTGGAGATGTTGCGGAGATGGAGCCTGCATGAGTTTGCCAACGATTGGACATGGGGTTGGAAGGACAGGTTGGAGTCAAGAGTGAAACCTAGGACTTTGGCTTGCGGGGTTGGACTGATAATGGCGTTGTTGGTCGTGATGGAGAGGGTGGGGGGCACGGGCTGGGGGGAAAATTAGGAGCTCAGTTTTGGAAAGGTTCAGTTGAGGAAATGGAGCGACATCCAGTCTGATATGTCTTTCAGTAGGTGGGCGATACGGGCGGAGACTGAGTGGGTGAGGTGAGGGGTGGAGAGGTAAATTTGCGTGTCATCGGCGTAGAGGTGGTAGTTGAAGCCGTGGGAGTGTATCAGTTTGCGGAGGGAAGAGGTGTAGATGGAGAAGAGAAGGGGCCTGAGGACAGAGCTGAATCTGGACTGAGAGTATATCTCTAAACACTGCAGAATTCATCCAGCTGCTTCTGTCACATCATTAATAAACACCAATGCCCCAGTGCCACTGGAAGCCATGCATGCCCATGCCATCACACTGCCTCCACCATGTTTTACAGATGACTTTGTGCGCTTTGCATCATGAGCTGTTGCAGGCCTTCTCCACACTTCTTTCTTCCCGCCATTCTGGTACAGATTAATCTTAGTTTCATCCTTCCAAAGAATGCTTTTCCAGAACTGGTCTGGCTTTTTTAAATTTTTTTGGCAAAGTCTAATCTGGCTTTTCCTTTCTTCAGGCTTATCAATGGTTTGCACCTTGTGGTGAACCCTCTTTTATTTGCTCTCCTGAAGTCTTCTCTTGATTGTAGACTTTGACAATGATACGCCCACCTCCTGGAGAGTGTCCTTCACTTGTCTGAATGTTGTGAAAGGGTTTTTCTTTACCGTAGAGAGGATCCTGTGATCATCCACCACTGTTGTCTTCCCTGGACGTCTATGCCTTTTTATGTTGCTGAGCTCAGCAGTGCGTTCTTTTTTCCTCAGAATGTACCAAACTGTTGATTTGGCCACTCCTAATGTTGCTGCTATCTCTCTGGTGGATTTGTTTAGTTTTTGAAGCCTTACAATGGCTTCACTTGCATGGACAGCTGCTTTTGAATGCATAATGTAGGTTCATAGATTCCAAATGCAAATACCACACTAAGAATCAACTCCATTATTTCTTCATCAATTAAGCAGGTAAAAGGTCTGGAGTAGCCCACACCTGGCCATGAAACAACTTTTGATTCAATTGTCTTATTACTTTTGGTCCCTTGAAAAATGGGGGATGGCTACTCTTAAGAGTTGTAATTCCTAAACCCTTCCTCCAATTTGGATGTACATACCCTCAAATTAAACCTGAGAATGTGCACTTTCAGCCCATATCCATTCTATAACTATAGCTTGAATATGTAAATACCTGAAAAAACTAAAATTGTGCCTGTGTCCAAATATATATGGACCTAACTGTATATACACTGCTCAGAAAAATTAAACGGACACTTTTTTGAAAACACATCAGATGTCAATGGGGAAAAATATCATGCTGGATAGCTATACCGATATGGACTGGGTAATGTGTTAGGAACGTAAGGATACCCCATCGTTTGACGGAAATGAAAAATATCAACTGACAGATGACTGAATTCAAAGATGCCCCTAAAATCAAAGTGAAACAATGATACAGCAGGCTAGTTCGTGTTGCTGAAATTTCATTGCAGCAACTCAGAATGGTACTCAGTAGATTGTATGCCCCTCACTTGCTTGTATGCATGCCTGACAATGTTGGGGCATGCTCCTAATGAGACGATGGATGGTGTTCTGGGCTATTTCCTCCCAGATCTAGACCAGGGCATCACTGAGCTCCTGGACAGTCTGAGGTACAACCTGGCGGCAACCAAAAAATAATATCCCAGAGGTGTTCTATTGGATTTAGGTCAGGCGAGTGTGGGGTCCATTCAATGGTATCAATTCCTTCATCCTCCAGGAACTGCTTGCATACTCTTGCCACATGAGGCCGGGCATTGTCGTGCATCAGGAGGATCCCAGGATCCATTGCACTAGTGTAGGGTCTGACAATGGGTCCAAGGATTTCATCCTGACACCTAATGGCAGTCAGGGTGCCATTGTCTAGCCTGTAGAGGTCTGTGCCTCTCTACATCGATATGCCTCCCCAGACCATCACTGACATACCAGCAAAACGGTCATGCTGAATGATGTTATAGGCAGCATAACGTTCTCCACAGCTTCTCCAGACCCTTTCATGTCTGTCACGTGCTCAGGGTGAACCTGCTCTCATCTGTGAAAATCACAGGGCACTAGTGGTAGACCTGCCAATTCTGGCGTTCAGTGGCAAATGCCAGTTGAGCTCTATGGTGCCAGGCAGTGAGCACAGGGCCCACTAGAGAACGTTGGGCCAGCAGGCCACCCTCATGAAGTCAGTTTCTGATTGTTTTGTCAGAGACAATCACACCATTGGCCTGCTGGAGGTAATTTTGTAGGGCTTTGGCAGTGCTGTTCATCCTGTTCCTCTTTGCACAAAGGAGCAGATACTGGTCCTTATGATGGCTTAAGGACCTTCTATGGCCCTGTCCAGCTTTCCTAGAGTAACTGCCTGTCTCCTGGAATCTCCTCCATGCTCTTGAGACTGTGCTTTGAGACACAGCAAACCTTCTGGTAATGGCACATATTGATGTGCCATCCTGGAAGAGTTGGACTGCCTGTGCAATCTCTGTAGGGTCCAGGTATCACTTCATGCTACCAGTAGCAAAACTTGTGAAAAACCAGTCAGAAATGATGAGTAGGGAAAAATTGTCAGTAGCCTCCACCTGTAAAATTCCTGTTTTGGGGATTGTCTCATTGTTGCCCATCTAGTGCACCTGTTGTTAATTTCATTAAGACCAAAGCAGCTGAACCTGATTAACAACCCCCTCTGCTATTTAACTGACCAGATCAATATCCCAGGAGTTTAATTGATGCTATACTCCTGATTACAAAGTGTTCCTGTTAATTCCTAATAGTGTTATCGAGGTGTGTGTGTCCCCTCTAATTTTATGGCAGGACAAGATGTTAACATTTTTCATCAGGCTTCCATAACTCTATTTTTATTGGTGTTATCCTATCTTGTTTCAGTTACAAGGTGCACGCATTTTAGGAATTCCTGTTATTGTCACAGAACAGTACCCTAAAGGGCTTGGAAGCACAGTACAAGAACTTGATCTAACTGGTGTGAAACTTGTAGTCCCAAAAACAAAGTTCTCTATGGTCTTGCCAGAAGTTGAGGCAGCATTGGCTGAGATACCTGGAGTTCGTAGTGTTGTATTATTTGGTGTTGAGGTAAGTGGGGCCCTGTTTAAATGTGTTGTATTTGTGTTTCTATCATACATGGGAACTAGCATATATGTATATCTCTTTGGCGCCAGCACCTCACGGCCCTTTAAGGGGACCACCATGATTGGCAGTCACATGATCAGAATGCTCCTGACCGCAAGTAGCGATCAGGACCTTTCTGTGAGGCGATGGTAAATGTGCCGGACTTTCTCAGTACATACAATGAAGGAAATAAGTATTTGATCCCCTGCTGATTTTGAATGTTTGCCCACTCACAAAGAAATGATCAGTCTAAAAATCGAATGGTAGGTGTTTTGTAACACTGAGAGACAGAATAGCAACAAAAAATTCAAAACAAATGCATATCTAACAAATTATGCACTGATTTGCATGTTCATGACGGAAATAAGTATTTGATCCCCTTCTCAAAACATACCTTAGTACTTGGTGGCAAATCCCTTGTTGGCAATCAGAGAGGTCAGACGTTTCCTGTAGTTGGCCACCAGGTTTCCACACATCTCAGGAGGGATTTTTGACCCACTCCTCTTGGCAGATGCTCTCCAAGTCAATAAGGTTTGGTGAATGACGTTTGGCAACTCGAACTTTCAGCTCCCTCCACAGATTTTCAATCGGATTAAGGTCTGGAGAGGCTGGCTAGGCCACTCCAGGATCTTAATTTGCTTCTTCTTGAGCCACTCCTTTTGTTGCCTTGGCCGTGTGTTTTTTGGTCAATATCATGCTGGAATACCCATCCACGACCCATTTTCAATGCCCTGGCTGAGGGAAGAAGGTTCTCACCCAAGATTTGACAGTACATTGCCCTGTCAATCGTCCCTTTGATGCAGTGCAGTTGTCCTGTCCACTTAGCAGAAAAACGCCCCCAAAACAGAATGTTTCCACCACCATGTTTGACAGTTGGGATGGTGTTCTTGGGGTCATAGGCAGCATTCCTCCTCCAAACACGGTGAGTTGAGTTGATGCCAAAGAGCTGGATTTTGGTCCCATCTGGCCACAACACTTTCAACCAGTCCTCTGCATCATTCAGATGTTCAGTGGCAAACTTCAGATGGGCCTGGACATGTTCTTTCTTGAGCAGAGGGACCTTTTGGGCACTGCAGGATTTCAGTCCTTGTCGGCATAGTGTGTTACCAATTGTTTTCTTAGTGACTGTGGTCCCAGCTGCCTGGAGATCATTGACAAGATCCTCACGTGTAGTTCTGGGATGATTCCTCACTGTTCTCATGAGCATTGACACTCCACGAGGTGAGATCTTGCATGGTGCACCAGATCCTCACGTGTAGTCTTGGGATGATTCCTCACTGTTTTCACGATCATTGACACTACATGAGTTTCTTGCATGGTGCACCAGACCTAGGGAGACTGACAGTTGTTTTGTGTTCTTTCCATTTGCGAATGATTGCACCAACTGTTGTCACCTTCTCACCAAGCTGCTTGGTGATCGTTTAGTAGTCCCAGTCCAGCCTTGTGCAGGTCTACAATCTTGTCCCTGACATCCTTGGACAGCTCTTTGGTCTTTGCCATGGTGGAGAGTTTGGAATCTTCATTGTTTGATTGCTCCTGTGGACAGGTGTCTTTTATAAAGGTAACAAAATGAGATTAGAAGCACTCCCTTTAAGAGACAGCTTCTAATTTCAGCTTGTTACCTGTATGAGACACCCAGTAGCCAGAAATCCTGCTGAATGGTAGGGGATCAAATACTTATTTCCCTATGAACATGCAAATCAGTGCATAATTTGTTAGACATGCATTTGTTTTGAATTTTTTGTTGCTATTTTGGCTCTGTTACAATACACCTACCATTCGATTTTTAGACTGATCATTTCTTTGTGAGTGGGCAAACATTTAAAACCAGCAGGGGATCACATACTTATTTCTTTTACTGTAATTTGTTTACATTTCCAGCAGCCTGTTTGTTCAAATGCTGCCTCTGCAGTGCTCACCAGCCATTGAATATATTCCACACTTCCAGGTGTATGGAATACTTGCCACCACATCCCATGCTGTGGTTTCTTCCACCTGCTCCTTTGTCACTACAGGGTGTACTAGCCTTTGGGAGTATTTTTGAAAGGAGAGCTCAGCAATGGCGATCTACATAGTTCTCATAAAAGATTAGGCCTCATAATTGCGAATAAAGTTTTTTTCCTTTCATAAGACCTGTGAAGAGGCTGATTGTCTTGCTGTGCAATTCATAGGGGATCTCTCTGGATAGAAGTTTGGGAGTTGCCATTGCTAACTTATTTATAAAGCTACAAGCTTGGAGAGGTTTGGTTGTCTTCTCACTAGTTGAGAGTTGCTGACTTGGACTAAGTTTGCAGGTCTATTTATCACGGGGCTATGGCTCATCCAGGAAACCACCATGCAACAAGTTAGAATTTCTAATAATAAATTAAGTCAGAATTCTTTATTTGAATACTTGTTTCTGGTCAGTGATTCAAAGTGTTGAAGCCGAAGTGATAGGGTGACAGCCAGACAACTAGTATTTTCATATACAGGGCCATGAAAAAGCATTTATACTCCCACATTTTGTTATGGTACAACCAAAATCGTAAATCTATTTTATTGGGTTTTTATGTGATAGACCAACACATAATTGTGAAGTGGAAGGAAAATGCTAAATGGTGTTCAAAATTTTTTTTAAATTGGGAAAAAAAAGGTAATCGAAAATAATTTGTAAAAAAATTAAGATTTACATTCTGTCCCTGATCACCACTACACCAGTTGTATGATGACGCTGTACTGCACTGGTGACAGTATAAAAAAAATATTGAAAAAAATCCTTTTTTAAAATTCTCTTTATTTCCCCAAAAAAGTGACAAAAATCACAACTTCAAAAAACACACCATAACTTGGACTGTCTACTTATCAAAAAGGGGTCATTTGAGGGATATTTGTACTGTCTGTGTTTTCAGGCCTGAAGAAATTAGATGGGCCATCAGTACATCAGAATGTTTGATTGATTTGCAGATATATGCCTTAGTTTGTGGACTCTATAACTTTCACACAGACTAAATAATAAACGCTGATTTGGGTTATTTTCACTAATGAAATGTAGCAAAATACAGTTTGGCCTAAATTTATCAAGAAAGTTTTATTGCCAATGAACATTTCTGAACCTTGCACTTTCTACAAGCAAGCATAGGTTAGCTTACCCTTTAAAATTTTCAGCTATGTGTTAGCTCTAGTCCCTGTGACTTTCTGTCTTTATGTTCAGATAGTAAAAGCTAAACCTTTAAAGCACTGCCAATGGTTTTGATTTCTCTTTTACATATTTACCTTTTTGATAGATGTTTTCCAGCCTGCTCACATGAACTGCAGGTTCTTTTGCCTATTCACATCTTAGCTGTGGGAGGTCCTCAGGTAGAAAGTGGCCTTGGTTACCATCTGCATTGTTGTATTTTATTGTATGTTTGACACCCTGCAATCTCAGGATGTCCCTGGTCTTCCAGGTTGAATGACATTGGGTGCCACTTAACCTGGAAGATCGAGGACATCTAGTGGCATAAAGGAATCACTGCAGAGGACCGTGCTGTAGAGGAGTACTGCAGCTATTGCTGTTGTTTTGTTTTTTTTTTTTTTTTTGTTTTTTTTGTTTTTTTTTATACCTGCTGGGAGAATTTTAAAAAATGCACACAGTTGGGCTTTAAGCTAGTCACACAGTACAGTCTGGCTGTACTAACTGTTATGCAGTATGAGGTCCTAATGGGACTGGATATGAATTGAATATATTGCTTATATAAGTCCTCACACTGCATACTGTTGGTAAATCAAGCACATTGTAATTTGTGTTGCCAATTTAGCAGTGTCAGTTGGAAGATTTTGATTGTGACAGTTTTCAAACCCCTACAGTATAAATATTTTGTTTGACACATGTCTGCAAGAGGACAGACTGTATAATGTTGCAAATCTGTTTTAAGTTCTACTTTTATTCTTTTAGACACATGTTTGTATTCAGCAAACCGCATTGGACCTAATTGGACGAGGAGTAGAAGTTCACATTGTAGCAGATGCTTCGTCTTCACGAAGCATGATGGATAGGATGTTTGCCTTGGAGGTATGCTTAAATGTGATTCATTGATTTGATTGCTTTAAAATCTGATATTGATGGCTGATTATGCACTCTGGTTATACATGAACATGTTGCTTTTAGGAAATTTCCACACCTCTCTGCCTAACCAACTAATCCATGTAATTACAGGCGTGAAATGTAGCAAGACTTGAAAACTAACTTTTTTTTTTTTTTTTCTTATGACAAGAATCAAATCAAATAGATCTTCTATACAAGACAGCAGAACACATTGTGCATCTACCTGTACTAGCTGCCATAGAAGATCTATGTTTTAGTGCTCTTGTTAGCAAATGGCATACACTCGCATACATATGTCTCCTGGGATGCCTCAGAATCTCCTTTGAGAAAAAAGGTATTCTTGGTAACACTGGCCTACAGTGAGAGTGGGGATATAGGCCTGCTAGCTGAAGAGTAAAGAATGTGTTCCATTTAGGTCATCTTCTTTAGGCTCACTTTCCAGATATTGGGAACTTGTCATTATTTTGATTCCTGTGAGAGGAGAGGAGCATCCAGTACTTTTCTATAATAGGGAACGTTTCTCTAATAGTTACATTTATTTGTTTTATTTAATAACGAAGCAAAGCAACATAAAAACCTAAATTGTTATGAATTCCTCTACATTATTGTTTCTTCTTTGTTTTCTGTGGAGCAGATATATACATATAAAAATAGTGTACTGCCTGTTTCACATGTTCTTTTTTAAAAACAGCTGCAAATATGGCCTACCAATAATTTTATATGTTTATGACCACCTTTGTGCATTTGATATCAAATTTATAATCTTTGTTTAAAAAGTGCAGTTGTTCCCAGATGATCAGCAGGGTTCCTCCCTGTCACAGAAGCTTCCCTAAATTAGGGGGCAGAGTACTCTAGAGGTCCAAGGCAGTGGAGATTTGATTCCCAGTAGTTTTCTTCCCTGAAGACCCTCTCTGTTGCCCATCTACCTAGTTATCTTTCCCCTGGGGAGGTTCCTGTACACTGGTGAGGCTAGTCAGGGGCTTTGCCTCTTTCCACTTTCCCCTGTGGGATTTCCCTTCACACCCAGTTTCCGTTACCCGCAACATGAGGGTAGTCCTTGGGCACAAGGGGGTGGGACATATCCAGTGTGTCCCCACACCAGTTCAAGTGAGCAAGCTGTATAAGAATGGCAATCACATCAATTGACAGCTAGCTTTAAAAGTCAGGTGCACATGGAAAGGCATTGCACAGCAGAAACATACCAATGATTTCCCAGCTAGCCTGCAGAACAAAAACAAAATTACACTGTAACAGTTTACATCAAAAACAGAGGTTTTAGTTGCACACATTTGGAAATATATGTGAAAGCCTCACTGCTTTGCCAAGGCTCCTCAGAAAGTGCAGCCCTAACTTTGATATTTGAGGGTAAGCACCTATCCTCCTGTCCCTCTCCCTGTTTCACTTTATCCTTCTCCTTTTTAGCTGCTTTCCTTTCACATAAATCTGCACTGCACACATCCCTACACCTCTGGCCTCGGAGCTGGATATTCCACACTAGGACTCCACACACCCTTTCCATCTCCTGTTACTTTTTATCTCTTCTATCTGTCCTGTCACCGAAATTCAGGCTAGCACTTTCTCTGCAGTCCTTCACTCTACTCTTCATTATCTCATGCTCTTGCTAACCTGACCTTCCTTTTTTTTCTCATCTCTAAGGCTAGGTTCACACCTTTGCGTGTTGGGAACGCACACAAAATTGTGCGCTTTCCTGAGAAGAACAGAAAGTGCTGCCCTTAAGTAGCTGCTCAGCAGTGCCGATAATTGTTAATGACAGCCTCACGCATCTGCCTATGTGTGCATTTATACAGACCTCAAACCACATGGGGCCACAGCAACATGCGGATCAGTGCAGCCCATTTTTGGAAAAGGGCCAGGGAATTTTCTGTATTTCTTGCACATAAAACAGCCTACTGAATTCAAAAGCAGGGGGTTGAGTCACGGTTTTAATTGCCCCAACCACCCACCTGAACAAGATGAGGCAGCCACTAGGGGCTGTACGTGTGGCAAAATTTAAATGGAATGTCGCAAAGAATGTGGACCATGCCTGCAACCTCATGCAATAGACACACAGGTATTTATACGTTAAATACATATGTTTCTGCTGTGGGGGCTCTCAAAATCTGTAGAGTTAGGACTACAGAATATCGGTGCCATGACGAGGCACTGAAGCTTACGCAAGTATTTTCGAATGTGGCCTAACTAAACCCCTGTTTTTAATGCATACTGTTAGACAGGTTAATTCGGTTTGTTTGCAGGCTGGTTGGCAAGCTGAGCTGGGAATTTTTCTCTTTTGTTTGACAATGCACACACAAGTAGTTTGCTGTAAATTTCTCTTCGTGCAATTGCTGAAGTTCAGAGCGGAAGTGCCACTTAAAGAACCTACTATTGAAAGAATCCCAGCATGTGCTTCCCCCATGAAGGTGGTATTATACTGAGGTAGGTGGGGGTGGAATTTTGAAAATTAGTCCGTCAAGGTTAACAGAGCAAACTTTTCACACCACAATCAAACTGCATGAGGACCAAGATGGTAGAGGTAAAGGATAAGTTCACCTTTTAGTGAAAAACTAAATGCACATTTTTTTTTTTTGCAGGTAAAAAAAAATGTACATGTAGTATTTTTGTCTGCAGGAGCCTGTAAAGCATTGCACCAGTAGATCACTGGTGCCATGCAGGTCTCATACTGATGTACAGGATGTACAAGCAAGCAGATATACTGACAGGTAGAATGAATGAACTATCACGCCATTCCATAGCACTGTGGTAGTTCATTGAGGACTACAAGCTGACGGACACTAAGGCTGTCGGGACTTGTAGTCTCTAGTTCACAGAAGACTGAATGAGTGACGCGTCCAGGTGGGCAGAGCCCCGCATTGAAAAAAAAAAAAATTTGACAGCTAGGGAGGGGGGATGAAGATCCCCCACTACCCCACTATCTGTCAAAGTGGGAGCGAGGTGGGGGGAGTAAGGTCCGGTCTGATCGTAACATGTTACACCCTGAATATGGGGGGTAACATGTAATGAAAGGTGAATGTGTGCTTTTGAAAAGCCCATAATTTAGCTAAGACACTAAGAAACACAGTAAACATCTCAATAATGTGAACAGGGCTACAGATGGTGAAAGCAGAAGCATAGGTCTATACTCGAATAGAAACAAATGTGTAAATGAAATAAATGGGGCTGAGTCTTTTCACCACTATTTTCTGCCATCACTATTCTGTGTTGTTTTTTTTTTTCCAATAAATACCAGAAATTTTCTATGTAATATATTTTTTGTGACATGTTATTTTAAATGAGACTCCTAATGTCTCACCTGTCCTCTATTGAAGCTAATACGTTCCAATAGTTATTTTTCTTTGGGCACATGGCCAGGGAAAGTGACAGCAGAAATCAGAAGTGATGTTATACTTGTTGCTTCATAATAGGTAGGGGGATCGGTGAATAGACACTCTGTGGTCTTCCTCCCCTGTCCCCAGCCATGCTGGTACGTGGTTTGCAGTTTGTAGCAAGGAGCCCAGGAAACATGATGGGGGTGTACGTGGTTGGGGATGGGGATTGGTAAGACTATATATTCCAGTAGTAGTGCACCAAAATGAAAATTCTGGTGCTGAAACTGAAAATTCAGGATGCACTTGGTTGAAAACCAATACAGAAAGTTTTTATTTATTTATTTTAATATAATTATTGTGGCTGGCGATTTTTGCATTGAAATCACAAGGGGGGCATTTTTGAATTAAAGTTAATGTGGACTTGACTTTGCGTGAGAGTCTAGGAGACTTGATCTTGCATTGAAGTTACTAGAGGGCGTGTTTGCACGAATGTCTATGAGATGCGGCTTTATATGTATCCGCACCCTTTTTTCTTATTGGCAAAATGCCGATAACACTATTTTTGGCCGATATGTTTTGGCTGCCGATATATCGGGTGTGTGGAAGTGCTCAGACTGACAAATGACAGTCAGATTTATATTCCTTAACAGTGTCAAAAAGTTGTCAAACCCTCCTGTTCCATTGAAAAAAAAAATAAATACACACACACACACACACACACAGAACGTATTTAGTCAGCCACCAATTGTGCAAGTTCTCCCACTTAAAAAGATGAGAGGCCTGTAATTGGCATCATAGGTAGACCTCAACTATAAGAGACAAAATGAGAAAAAAAATCACATTGGCTGATTTGGAAAGAATTTATTTGCAAATTATGGTGGAAAATAAGTATTTGGTCACCTACAAACAAGCAAGATTTCTGGCTCTCACAGACCTGTACCCTCTTCTTTAAGAGGCTCCTCTGTCCTGCACTCATTACCTGTATCAATGGCACCTGTTTGAACTTGTTATCAGTATAAAAGACACCTGTCCACAACCTCAAACAGTCACACTCCAAACTCCACTATGGTGAAGACCAAAGATCTGTCGAAGGACACCAGAAACAAAATTGTAGAACTGCACCAGGCTGGAAAGACTGAATCTGCAATAGGCAAGCAGCTTGGTGTGAACAAATCAACTGTGGGAGCAATAATTAGAAAATGCAAGACATACAAGACCACTGAATGGGGGGGGACCTAGTGAATGACTTGCAGAGAGCTGGGACACACGTAACAAAGGCTACCATCAGTAACACACTACGCCGCCAGGGACTCAGATCCTGCAGTGCCAGACGTGACCCCCTGCTTAAGCCAGTAAATGTCCGGGCCCGTCTGAAGTTTGCTAGAGAGCATTTGGATGATCCAGAAGAGGATTGGGAGAATGTCATATGGTCAGATGAAACCAAAATAGAACTGTTTGGTAGAAACACAACTCGTCGTGTTTGGAGGAGAGAGAATGCGGAGTTGCATCCAAAGAACACCATACCTACTGTGAAGCATGGGGGTGGCAACATCATTCTTTGTTGCCGTTTCTCCGCAAAGGGACCAGTACGACTGATCCATGTACAGGACAGAATGAATGGGGCCATGTATTGTGAGATTT